ATTAGGGTTAGCATTTTGTTAGTTGTAGATATATATTTTTAGCAAATTGTCACCTGCGTGATATCAGGTAGATGACATGTCAGGGAAATAGCTTTCGGGAAATCGTACCGTAACCAAACCCACCTTATTAACTTAATATATAGTACATATTATTAAATTAATAAATATGAATTATAAATTTTTACTATAGGAATTTTAATATATATGAAACTATTGTTCCTGATTGAATGCATACCTTGGATCTTAGCCTCTTTAAATATATACTAGAGTATACGAAAAAGCTTTTATACAAACAATGTGAAAGTCATATATTTCAAACTTTTGAACAACGATTAGCATTGATTCCTAGATATCATGGCCTTAAAATAATAAAGAATATATCAGATACAATATGCTTAATAGCAGATGAATTGTAAAATTTAATGAAAATAGTAATTTTCACTCTTGATCATCTATATGATAAGTATAAAAAGCCTGGTATTAATAATTATCAGCTAAGCCAAGTATTTTATAAATTCTTACGAATGTATATAGCTGTTTAGAAGAATCATTTACTAATGAGTCTTGTAATCAGCTTCAGGTATAAGTAAATATTTAGTTTTTTTTATAATTTTTTGATTACTAACAATTAATTTTATAGATATTTATTATGGTTTGGGCCCAAAAATTTATTAAAATATTTTCAAAATATTCACGAAGTGGTCTTAAACTTCCATAACTTCACTCTTGGTGCTATCATATAGTATTCAAAATTAAAAAATATGAGTCAATAAATAGTATGACAACAGAAACTTATAAGACTCTACATAAGAATTATGTTAAAATTTCTTACCAAATGTCAAATAAAAAAGATTACATAAAGCAAATATTAAAAACAGTAAGCCATATACTGGTTAAAAAAATCAAATTTTAACGAAATAATATCTCATAATATATAGTACAAATAATAGTTTAATTACTAAATAGTATACGTATTTAATAGATTTATTAGTAAATCTATTAAATACGTATATTATTTAATAATTAAACTATTATTTGTACTATATATTATAAGATATTATTTTGTTAAAATTTGATTTTTTTAACCAGTGAAAATTATCGCTAACAATCGATTATTTTTTAGATTAAATGATATAAGTTAACTAAAAGTGAAGTACTCAAAAAATACTAAAAATTGAAAGGGTTTAGAAAACCTCTGTGAAAATTAAATCTAGAAGATTTGGATCAATTTATTCAGAAAAATATAAATGAATTGGACTCATTACAGATTGATAGTTTTTATAATTTGTTAAATAGTCTTGATGAATTTTTTGAAGAAGAATCACTAGTATCTATTTACGATAATAATCAATTAGAATTTTTTTCTTTAGCAGCATTAGAAAGTACTGATATAATTTGTGCTTCATCTAATTTTCATGGTAAACTGATGTTTTCTAATGTCATTATTAATGGTGAAGTTGAAGGAAAAACCATAAATTGGTATGGTTTGGTAAGAATTATTTTAATATATGATATTTTTTATAACATACTAACTTAATAATATTGACTATAAGTAATATATAATGTAAATTAGAATATTAATTTTCTAGCTTATTATTTAATTTGATATTAATATTAAATTTTTTTCTTATAAGTACTATTAATATTTAAGTTTTATATAGCTTTAGATAAAAAACTACTTGAGTTCACTCATATTCATTGGTATAAGGAGGATGATCAACTATGGGATTGTCTAAGATTAAGATTAGTTAAACAATATAGTTGTATACTGATAGATAATATCGATAAAACTGTATATATAGTTCCAAGATTTGACAAAACAAATAAATATTTAATAAATAGTTTTATATTTTAAAAATTTAATAAGTATATTATAAAATTAAATATATTTTTTAAATAGATATTAATTAATATAAATATATATAGCAATTAATTGAATTGCATCAATTTAAAAACTTTGATAAACAATGTTAATATTAATTGATTTATTAAATTTGATATTATTTAATTTTAGATATATATCAATTAATATCATAATCTATATATATTGAAAATCGATATATTTCAATTATTAATGATGTTTATCAATATAGTATAGTATGTTATATATTGTTAATAATTGAAATATATCAATTTTCAATATATATCGATTTTCGATATTAATCGATATATATCTAAAATCGAATAATATCAAATTTAATAAATCGAATAATATTAATAAATCATTATAAATCATTATATAGCATAGTATATTATATATTGATTTATAATGATTTATCAATATTAATCAATTTATTAAATTCGATATTATTCATTTTTTAGATATATATTGATTAATATTATAAATTGATATATATTGAAAATCAATATATTTCGATTATTAACGATATTTATTGAAGTTTTTAAATCGATACAAATCGATTAATTGCTACATATCGAATGACATCTATTTAAAAAATTTTCTGATATTTATTGGCTAACATCAAGTCTTTAATTAATTTTTATTGCATAATATCCAATAGAGGGTTTTAAAATTAATAATTTGGCATCCAATTTTAGATAAAATAAGTAATGATTTGTGTTAAATATGTGACTTATAAATCTTTTTTTAATATATAAACTTATTTATATAATCATTTATTGGTAAATATTTATAAAAAATATCAATTTTATTAACTTGAATCAGAATTTTAAAAATAAAGATAGGGTCTTTTAAACTCTCACTTATTTTGTATATTCAATTTTAGTTTTACAGATTTTGTACATAGATTTTAAACACTAAAATAAGATCATGTATATAAAAACTAAATTTATTAGATGTTTTTTCAATTGGAATTTAACCAATTGAACTTAGTTAAAATTCTATCAGTTCATTATTCTGATTGAATTTGAATTAGATTATTCTAATTATAACACTAAACACTAGTAGCAAATATTTAAATGATAAAAATTTTGATTAGTTAATTTGAATTATATAAGTAATACAAAAATTTGATTGCATCAGCAAAAAAAACATACTGATATATATCAATATATATCCATATTGGATATATATCAATAGCAATCCCCCCTGTTAGGTTATATCGATTTAAATATATATAGATATATAGCCATTATAATATAAATTTGATATATATCGATTAGTCTATATTTTTGATTCTTCTTGATATGTATTCATTTATTTGATAGCTAATTTAATACTAATATTATATCAACTATAGTGCTTTAGCAATATAACGTTTAAAGCAGTAACTATTTTATTTAGAATTTTACTTTTACATACATTACATTTTTTTATTGTAATATTAAAGCAATGCGCAATACATAATATATATAATATACATTAAAAAAAAAACTACCTAAAAAAAACATAAAACGCTACAAAGTGAAATCAAACAAATCATCCATCTCTTCTTGGGAAAGATGCATTGATGAAGATCTTTAATATACATTAAAAAAAAAACTATCTAAAAAAACATAAAATGCTACAAAATGAAATCAAACAAATCATCCATCTCTTCTTGGGAAAGATGCATTGATGAAGATCTTTGAGGAAGGGTTTCATCAAGATCAGGGTCATATTGAGGTGATGCTCTATCAGATCATTTATCATTACAAGGTTCACCATCAGTTAATATGGCATTAGCAGTATCATGTAAGAGACCATTACCCTTAAATTCTTGCTATAATAATACATTAAAATTAATTAAAATTAATATAAATAAAAACTACATTATAATTACTTACCAAATATTTTTCAATACGACATTTCATACATCTTTCGGTATACAGAATGTTTTGTGATTATGGGTTTAGCAGGATGTCGCATACCGCAAGCTTGAACACACAATGTGTGTTTGTCAAAGTTGGGACCGCCATCGCTGAAAAGGCTGTTCTTGCAATCGTATACACCCAGAGTGTACCTTCATTATTTTTTTCAAAAACATGCGATAGCAATTGCTTATGGGTTGACTTTCCTTCCAACTCACAATGGCGGCTGCAGCCACATTACTTTTTAAGAGAGGCAGCTTTTTATGCCTAAAAATACACCAAACTGCAGACCTAACACTTTGCAAGGCAGCACCGCGATTATTCTTAATCTTTTGCAGGAGCTATGAAATAAATTAAAAATAATAATTCCTAATTAAAAACAATTATTCATAATTACAAACAATATATGCTTTAATTTAAAAATATTACCTGTATAGTATAAATTATAGTAAATAAATGTGTTAAAAATTATAAACGATTATAAATGATTGTAAATGAACATAACAGATAAGCAATATATAATTAAGAAAGAGAACATTACCTGACTCAACCAATTGCCATGATAACAGTTTGTAAAGTTATTTGACCTATGTTAGACATAAAATCTGGAAACATTTCTTCTATGTAAGCCTTAAAGGTTTCCTTTACTATGGCCTGGGTGGGGTACACATGAAACGTGAAGAGGCGTTTTGCAACATCAGTAAATGCATCCTATAGAAATTACAACTTAGAGTTCTGATTACATCTATATATATCAACATATATTGAATACTCACGTTCAAGACTTTCTGAGAAAGTTCTTTTTCGGTGTTATGTCACTGCCATTTTACTTCGGCCTTGATTTCTTGTATGTCTTCATTGATCCTTTTAAGTAAATGGTATAGCTGCTGGTGCTGTGTAAATAGCTTCTCATCCACCCGCAGGTAGTATTGGTTCGAACGTTCTTCAATTCAGTTTTTTTAAAAAAAATAAAAATAAAAATAAAATTGCACAAAGTGCAACATCTAAGAAAAACGAAAAAAAGGAACTTATATACCATCACGATCATGATTGCGTAGCTTATTTTGATTGGAAGATTGTTGATCTCATGATCGGGATCTTTCTTGTAATTGCGATCGATTACAATCGATAGATCGAGAACGAGATGGAGAACGAGATGGAGTATCTTGTTGAGATGGAGTATCTTGTCGAGAGTAAGAGATTTGTTGTGAAAAAGGTGAAAGATGTGTTTAGGTAGTATGTTCTGATTTTGTTTGTTTTCCTTTCATTTTCTCAAATATATTCTGTATACTTTTAATGCTTTTGTATGAATCGGATAAATTACTGTCACTATTTGGAGAACCAGGAGTTGGAGGCACCGATTGTAAACAGGTTGTATTAGTAGGAATAGAGGTAGGAGAACGGGTTGTATTAGTAGGAATAGAGGTAGAAGAACGAGTTGTATTGGTGGGAATAGAGGTTGTATTGGTAGGAATAGAGGTAAGAGAACAGATTGTAATGATAGGAGAATGGGTTGTATTAGTACGAGAATAGGCTGTATTGGTAGAAGAGCAGGTTGTATTGGTAGAAGAGCGGGTTGTATCAGTAGATATATTGGTAGAAGAAGATAAGTTGGGCGAAGTGTTATTGATAAAATTTTCAGAAGGTAATATGTTATTAGTATTGTTGTTATTCATTTCAAAAATTTTCAAAAATGTTTTACCTTTTGATTCTCAAAGAGTTATATTTATATATCTATAAAATTTAAGAAATAGATAACTGATGATGCAACTTAGTCATTATATAACAAAAAAAAAAAACATCATACGTATAGTAATAATTTATTGAGTCTAAGAGAGATAATATTTGTTATGTAGCAAAAAAAAAAAAAAATTTTTAATTGTAAACATACATGTAATGACAATTTATTTATCTAAATAGATGAGTGTTAATCGTTATGTAGCAAAAAAAAAAAAGCAAAAGTATACTTATCTTATTTGTTGTTTTGGTCATTTGCGTATAATGACAATAAATATAATTACATATATAAAACAATTTGCTGAGTTTCTCACTACGATTTGAAATATAATGAATAATATATACATAATATACTTTTTGTTTATAATTTTACGTCATATAAATAATTATACGCTTTGTTTTGATTGAAAAGAAGAATTGCTAAAATCAATATAAATCGATAAGGGTCATTAAAATCTCTAAATCTCTAAATCATTACTCGCTGCTACATCCTTTACTCTTTTATTATCATTTTTACTTTGTCTTTACAATTCAATATATCACTAATTCATACTTTACTCTTTCTCTTTTGCTTCACTTTCTTTTCACTTTCTCTTTCGTTTCATCTCTTTATTTATTTTTTTAAATCTGAGAAACAGAATTCTGTTCAGGTTCTGGTGTTCTGGCTCTCTACTTTATTTTTTTGCCATCTTTTTTCACTATTTTTATTATATATCGATATATATCATTAACATACATAATTTCTCCTATTAGCTCTCTTATAATCGTTTATATCTATTTATAATCTCCTTTTATATTTCGTTATCTAATATTCTTTCGCTTTCTTTAATTATCCTTTCTCTTTCTCTCATTATTTTTTTTTATTCCTATCTTCTAAAAATGTGCTGGTAGTGTGAGCATTGTAATTAAAATTTTTTAAAATCATTCGCATTAATTCAACATATTTCACAAAGTCACCCTTATCCTCAAGAAATATCAAATCAAGACATTTCAGCTGACGAATTGGATGATAATATTTGGGAGCTTCCAGAATACAGTCCTTCAGAATATGACTCCAATGATTCTATAATTTTGAAGGTAAATTTTTATAATAGATGTAAGTATTGTAAATTCTCGAAATAGCGGGCATGAGCATTATTTTGAATTTTAGCCCAAATTAAGTTTAATTTGGGCCAAAATTCGAAATAATGCTCATGCCTGCTATTTCGAGAATTTACGGGAATAAAATGTTATATAATGATATATATTATTTAGGACGAAGACATATTAGCATTATCTCATTCCGATATAGAAATAGACCCTTCTTTGGCAAATGTGTCTCCTTTTGCAGAATGTGATTTTGAAGATTATGAGAGTGCTTCGTTAGAAGATGATTTTGATGACTTGCAAAATCCACCAACTATTAAATGGCCCAATGAAGCTTATTATAAGTTTATAGAGATAGTTAATAAGCACCAACTATCTAATTCGGCTGGTAATTCTTTTATAAAATTCTTCAATAAATTTTCCAAATTGGATGTATCACCATTACCTCCGTCAACAAGAATTGGAAGAGAATTTCTGGACAATTCTTCTATCCCTTACATAAATTTCAAAGAAACTCTGATTAGAACATTTCAAAACGTTGAATATACATTATACTATCAACCAATAATCAAAACAATAAAATCCTTAATAATGGTCGATATTATAAATCAATCATTGGTTCTTCATTATGAAAATAAAATTGAAATAATAGATGGTGCTGAACATTGAGTATTTGAAGAACAGTATAATTGTAATTGGTAGAGGCAAGAAGAATTAACATTACTTTTAGGACAACAATTATTATCGATTATTCTCTATTCAGATGTGATAACACTTGATCAAATGGGAAAATCCTCTAGGCACCCAATATTTTATCATTTGGTAACATACCTAACTCCCAAGTGAATAAACCAGAATCCAAGGCACTTATCAGATATCTTTCAATCATAAAAGCCAGAGATTTTAAAACAAAAAATTCTAATCAGTTCCGTCAACTAAAAAGAGAAGTCTTTCAGAAGTGTATGTCAATTCTTCTCAGGCCTATAGTAGAGGAGCCAGAGCTTCACTTTGTAATTTGAGGTCATATCACCACTTTCATTCCTCGAATTTCAATAATATTATCCGATTTAGTAGAAGCCAATATGCTAGCAAATGTTTACCAACCATTGTCTTCAAGAAGACCATGTTATTCCTGCTTAGTGTCAAATAATAATTTGAATAATATAAGCTTAGCTTATATCTCACCTAGAACTCCAATTAATATGAAACAAGTGATAGATAGTGGTGAAGAGCAGTACTATTCGATACATCCTGAAAGAAATGCATTTTGGGAGATAAGGTATAAAATTAGGTTATTAGTATTATTTTAATTAATATTTACTATAAATTATCAATTTAGACACTTCAATATATATGAAGCCATCACTACTAATCGAATGCATACCTTAGATCTTGGCCTCTTTAAGTATATGCTAGATTATACTAAAGAACTTTTACTTGAACAATGCAGGAGCTGTGTGTTACAAACCTTTGAACAACGGTTGATATTGATTCCTAGGTTTCATGGCCTTAAAATAATAAAAAATATATCGGAAATAACATGCATAACAGCTGATGAATTGAAAATAATAATTTTCGTGTTAAATAATCTATATGACAATTATAGAAAGCCGAGAATTAGTAATAAGTGATTATGTCAAGTTTATTACAAATTTCTTCATATATATATTGCAACTCGACAAGAATTATTTACTAACAATTCTTGTAACCAGCTCCAGGTATAAACCAATTATATAATTAGTATTCAAAAATGCTCAATTATTAATACACTAATTTCACAGACTTTCATTATGGATTGAGCCAAAGACTTTCTTGAAATTTTCTTAAAATACAATCCAAGTGGTCTTCAACTTCCAAAGTTCCATTCTTGATGCTATCACATAGTGCTGGCAATCCAGGAATATGGAACAATAAATAGTATGACCACAGAGACCTATGAAACACTCCATAAATATTATATTAAAAACTCCTATTGTATGTCAAACAAAAAAGACTATATGAAACAGATAATAAAAATGATAATGCCTTACTTATAATATATAATCGCAATAAATCACTAAGACAGTTTATTTTCAGATTAAGCGACAAAAGTTAACAGAAAATGAGGTATCCAAGAAACATCATTGATCAAAAGGTTTTGAAAAATCTTTGTGGACGATAAACTTAGAAGACTTGGATAATTTTTATGAAAAAAATATAAATCATTACAGATAGAAGGTTTTCAAAACCTACTAACTGGTTTTGATGAATTTTTTGAAGAGAAATCATCTATGTCTATTCATGATGACTCACTAGTAGAAACATATTCTTCCATAGCTTTAGAAACGACTGATATTATTTGAGCTACATCAAATTTTCATGAAAAACCAATGTTTTCTAATATTATTATAAGTGCTAAAGACAAAGAGATAGAAGTAAATTGATATGGCATGGTAAGAAAATTGATTAACTAAAAATAAGTAACGATACAGAATGAAATATATCATAAGTTATTTTTTTTTTATAATTCGGCAATCCTGCCTCTGTTTATTTGAGATTAAGCTATTCAAGAATTATATATTTCTATACATTTCTATCTGTAGCTATTGCTAAT